TGAAAGAAAAAGAAAAAAATCATTAGATGCTTAAACTTAATGCACATTTAAAATCAGTCCAAGTTATTGGAATACCCTTTATATAATATAAGGAAAAAAAGGAAAACTTATCTTAACTGATGTGATTCATCCTCTGTGGGACTTTATCAAGGCAAATGCAAGGATTATATTTTGTAACAAGTGTTTATATACAAGAGCAAAAATGTTATTGGTTTTACAACATTTTTTACTTTTTAAGTACAATAATAATCATGAGGTTAAATGAAATGTCGGGCAAGATATGGGGAACACCAAGTGACACATTGAAATGTCTAATAAATGAAAATGTGTAAGTGATGTTTTTGAAATGTTTAAGAAGCAATAAAAGTTTTTGCTCTTGTCTATAAATACTTGTTACAAAATCCTTGCATTTACCTTGATAAAGTCCCATATATTCATATTGTCCTTTTATAGATATACTCTATCTGAAATTTTTTTCACTTGCATATGGGCTCATAGTTGATTGCTTAGAACGTTTGCTTTTCGATCATGAGACCAAAATTTGAATCTTATCATGGTCAATTAATCACGGAGGTGACTTATCAGCCTGGGTTGGTGATCCCAGTGTGTGACAAATTCAGAAAGTGCCTGAAAACCATATCCCTGACCCAATCCTTGGGAGAGTGAAATTTGGGGGTCGTCGATGTTTGTGCTAGCATGAACTCTGAAGTCATCAGGACAGAGAGTTTGAGCATACTGGCATTGTTCAGCCTGTTGATTACACCACATAATGCGCTCTCTCTCCCAGAAACTGTAACTAAGTTCGACTCAGCATAAACGCAGTATAATCCACAGGTGGGCTCTGTGGGTTTTGAACGAACAAAAATGTGCCAGAGCAGGGGTCTGTAATGGGGATTAGCTAGCCACCATATATATATATACCTACATAAAATCACCACCAGTGTAACTTAAATTCTTTCCCTCTCCCACAAAACATCTCCCAATCAGATAACCACCAAACATAGATGGAAATACCTACTCAGTACTCAAACACATACACATTATCAACCGAATCCCACATAGACAAACTAGAATTATGATATACATACACACATGAATTATGAATGCTAATACTGCTTGAAATGACAGATACACATGAGGTCTGCTTAACCAATGAAGAGCAAACAATATAAAAATAACAATTTTTTTTCTCCTCTGTATTTCACTTTTTGATGAAACTTAAATGAAAGTGAAACAGGCTAAATTTCTAAATGTTTCCTCTTTCTTCCTTATCCTATCATTTTATGTAATTTTAAGGTGTGCTATATTTTGGGAATAAATTGCTCAATATCAGAGATAGTGTATGTTAGTATAAAAGTGAACATTTAGAGGCACAATGCATTTAGCATGAAACAGTCTGTCACCTCTGATTATTGAACTCAATGTTCATATATATATATATATATATATATATATATATATAATATAATTTTGGGGATTTAGGCTAATCGTATAGTAATTCATCGAGCCTAGAATAATCCTCAACAGAATGCAGAAAGCACTGGACGGCCACTACCGAGAAAAAAGCAGTCGTGGCTCTTGGGGCACTGTTCCAAGGTTATCTGAATACTTGGATGAGTATCACTGTGGAACTGAGCTAGTAGTGGTGTTATATTGAGTCTAGTTTGTGTCTCCTTCGTCATCAAGGCCCATGGTACAGTTGGTATGATATTTGCATTGTATCAAAAATGGTCTAGGTTCGATTCTTGGTAGTGGCGCACTGCTGATGAGTCCCAGATAGGACAAAATGGCCGTCCAGTGCTTTCTGCATTCTGTTAAGGATTATTCTAGGCTCAATGAATTACTATATGATATATACACACACACATATATATATATATATTCTGTGCATTTATGATGATGACTTAAGGCAGTTGAAAGCTTGGACCCATTTTCTTTTGAAAAAAAACTTTGGACAATTTCTAATTATATTTCACCCATAATTTTATCATAATTTGAAAAATCAATCATTAAAAATTAATTGACACGAAACATCTGTTGTCTTTTGTTCATATATATATATATATATATATATAAAAACAAAAGACAACAGATGGTCCAGGTTCGATTCTTGGTAGTGGCGCACTGCTGATGAGTCCCAGATAGGACAAAATAAAAAATATATATATAAAGAATATGACTGTAGTTCTTTGAGTGATCCACATGGGAATAAAGTTTGTGTATCCAAACTTGTGAGGACACTGTCATGGAACGATTTGTCTTTGAAAAGTGGGCATATGATTTCAACTCTTGCATGAGTCTTTGTCATTATTCCAGTTCTAGAATAAAAATTTCTGAGTTGCAATAAAATGTTATAGAAATAAGTTGAAAGAAATTCTGTTGAAAAATTGATAAATGCTTCATCTAAGAAAGTCCTGCAAGAATACTACCAGGTGAAAAAGCAAGAGAAATAATATGAAAGAAATAGTAATCAAAAAAGAATTGAAAATGATTGACCTAACATGTTCAGCCGATTTCAGACTGTAGACACAAGATGAAAAAATACTAGTCAAAACTAGTTAGCAATGCTTCATCTAAGTACTATTACTATCTGGTGTAGAAGCAAGAAAAATAAGATGAAGGAAATAATTGACATTGTTTTGTCTAAGAAATTCAAACAATGTATGACTTAATTTATGGCAAGAGAAATAAGATAGAAGAAATATTAATAAAAAATAATTGACATTTGTTCATCTAAGAAATTCAAACGATGTATAAATATTAATTACTTTACAGCAAGAGAAATAAGATGGAAGGAATACTAGTCAAAAATAATTGACAACTTAGCATTATTACTAAAATATGTAAAATTAAGACAAGATAGTTAAAAATTGATAATTGACAATGCTTCATTAAAGAAATTCAGACAACTTAAGACTATAATGTTTTTATTATTCCTTTATTCCTAGGTGTAAACAAAAAAAATATTAAAGAAAAAGTAATTTCATTCAGTAAAAAAAAAAAAAGGAATCATTTAACAATGAATGCTGTGGTTTTTTTTTTTTTTTTTTCTTTTTTTTTCTTTTTTATCCATCTTGTTATGGGGCAAAAAAAAATAGCCTGGATTCTTAATTCAGTCTTCAAATACAATGGATTAAAAATGTTTTATTTATTTATTTTTCAATTCCTACTCCCGTCCCGTAATAATTGTTACAATTGCATATGCACTTCATACACTAAATGTAACAAATATTATGGGATAGAAGCAGTAGTATGTATGTACATATATCTATCTATCTATATATATATAATTTATTTTTTTTTTTTAAATAAAAGCCAAAAAAAAAAAAATAGATGTACCTTCAGCAATATTTAAGGTAAGTGTAGAGATAGTAATTCCTATGTGAGAAGTTCTTGCCAAATGGACAACGAACTTTGACCTTACTATGTTCATAAACACAGTAAGATTTTTACCCCCATTTATTCTCAAGGGATGGAACGTATATTCAAAATTCCACACACTTATGTGTGGATTGATATTCATGTATATCTATATTTTTAAAATTTCTTTCAGTACATCCTTTGGGGAAAGAAAAAAACAAAAAAATATATATATATATATTTGATACATTTTTATGTATGTATATATATTTATGTGAAGATATGTAGTTATCCTGAGCACTCCAGCATGTCATGGTTCTATGGAAAAAAAAAATAGTATATAAGTAAAAAATATACTTAGATAAATAAAGTACTAATGGTGTTTAATGCTTGCTTGCTTGTTCATTTGAAACCTCTGTAACAAACTTTAAACACCAATTTTAAAAGCAGTACTAAATGATGAAAAATGAAAGGGTAGGGTCAGTTATTTTCCTGTTTCTTCTTTTTTTAATTTTTTATTTTTTTCGGAATCAGCAGTTATTAAAAAAAATTTTCTTGTGGTAAATTTTGTATTCTTCATAGCAATTTTTATTTTTATTGAAATATTTCTAATTTTAGTAGAATCTTACGATCTTGATATCTTTCTAACGGCTTCAGAAACATTTCTGAGTGCTAACTGATGAAACGACACTCCATACAGTGTCAAAATACAGTAATTTTTGTAATCCACTCACAGAAAAAAAAATAATAAAAAAAAAAAATATATATATATATATATATACACATTTTTTACTCATCTTTTGTGTGCTTCATAAAATCATCCATTGTCTGAAGACTTTGGTCCCAAAGGGAATGGTATTTTTGCCCCTCGCTGTACCAGCCTCACACACGATATGAAGTATTTTGTCAGTCATAGCCAGTGTTTATTTTCCCATTTCAAAACAGTCTATGGAGAAATTCAAATCTGTTTGAAAATAAAAAGATATAAAATTGAACGTTTACTGTAGAAAAATTGTTTTAGGTTAGCTTGGGGGTTTCATGTACTTCAATACCTCTGTCGTTAATAAAGTTAAAGATATTTTTTTTTTACCTTTCCTTTTTGAGTTTACCTGTCAATGACTGATTAGTTTATGATGGATACTTACAGAACATTATCCATTTTTTCTAAAACAGTTCGATTCAAGAGATTAACCATAGGGAAAATATATCTTGTAAGCAGTTACATAGGTTCTATTTTTTCTCCACTACTAAAATAGAGAAAACTATATTTTGTAACAAAATAGATATTTTTTGTTTGCCACTATGGAATTAAAGGAAATTTTTAATTGAGAAACAAAGATATACTTTCTTATTTTTTTTTAAATTTGATAAAACTAGGTATATAATTTAAACTAATCATATGAAAATAGTTTTATTACACGCAGTGATTTTTAGGGAGACAATAAATTATTGAATTAATAAATAATTTTTAATTTAAAAACAAAGCTATTTCTCTGGGAAAAACTCTGTTAATCAACTACTGCTTGTTTTTTTTTTTTTTCTTTTTGTCTACTAATGATAAAGTTTTGTTATTTTTTTTCTTCTCCCCTGTTCTTCAGTGGCATGCGTTAGATAGATCAGAACAGGCCAAGTATTATGAGATGGCTCGCAAGGAAAAAGAATTACATATGCAACTATACCCTGGCTGGAGTGCTCGGGATAACTACGCATCACACACGAAAAAAAAGAAGAGAAAAAGGGAAGTAGCAGGTGAGAATAAAGGTAATACAACACTTAATTTCTTTTTCCTCCTTCCAGAAAAAGATTTTACGTGTTATTTTGATTTTTGTTTGTTTCTTTGTTGTCTTTTAATTATTAAATATGTTTTTTTTTCCAGAGTTTTTCTTTTTCTTTTTTCTCTCCTCCAAAGGCTTTTAATTTTTTTTTCACTCTCCTCCAAAGACTTTTAATTTTTTTTTCACTCTCCTCCAAAGGCTTTTAATTTTTTTTCACTTTCCTCCAAAGACTTTTATTTTTTTTTTTTTCACTTTCCTCCAAAGACTTTTTTTTTTTTTTTTTCACTTTCCTCCAAAGACTTTTAACTTTTTTTTTTCACTTTCCTCCAAAGACTTTTAACTTTTTTTTTTCACTTTCCTCCAAAGACTTTTTTTTTTTTTTTTTTCACTTTCCTCCAAAGACTTTTTAACTTTTTTTTTTCACTTTCCTCCAAAGACTTTTAACTTTTTTTTTTTCACTTTCCTCCAAAGACTTTTAACTTTTTTTTTTCACTTTCCTCCAAAGACTTTTAACTTTTTTTTTTCACTTTCCTCCAAAGACTTTTTTTGTTTTTTTCACTTTCCTCCAAAGACTTTTAATTTTTTATTTTATCTCCTCCAAAGACCTTTATTTTTATTTATTTTCTCTTCTCCAAAGACCTTTTGATTTTTAGGTTCATAACTCTCTCACACGCACGCATATTTTAAACAAGTTTTGTTGAACACTATCGACTGAGTCTGTCTGTTCAATTTTTCATTAAGTTTTTCAAATTTCCAAATAAGTTGTTTTATACAAATAGTAAACATTCCTAAGTTCACTGCCCCCTTCTCCTTCCATGCTTTCAAATGTTGTTACATTCATTGTAACGATTTTGTCTGTTTATGAAATTGTTTCGAAAAAAAAAAAATTCATTTTGACTGTTGCAAATGATGTCACCTTGATTTTACTTGAAATTGATTCCAGCAAATGGAGGGAATGATGTCGGATGGGGTAGCCAAAAACGATTTCATAAACAGACAAAAACTAAATCTTTTGCAATGAATGTAGCAACATTCAGAAGTACACTTAAACAAAAAGTGTACTTTGGAAAAATTTACCAATTGTATAAAAGTACTTATTTGGAAATTTGAAAAATTAAATAAAAAATTGAATGCACCATGTCAATATTGTTTGCCAAAACATGTGTAAAAGAATTCTTGCTACCTAAAAACCTCTATTTACATTATTCAGACTATTGTCCTCATCTTTGTCACGATATTTATTACAACGTTTCAGCCTTCTTCAGGTGTTTGGGTTGTCAAAACATTTAGTTTATTTCGCTCACTGGGGTAGACTGTTCTAGTTCCACGTGCCATGTTTAACGGATGTCAGTTATCAGTTATCTCCTGTTAATTCCCCTCTCCAAGTTCTCCACTGTCTTAACTGGGTATTGAACTCACACTCCTTGGTTCCTGTCACTAGATCTAACCAATGCCTTTATCCATGTGTCCTTGAGGACATCTGTGTATGAATTTCTGGGTATTATAAACCTAATATGGACAGATACTAAACATCTCTCTCTCTGAGTCTGTCTATATTTCTGAGATGAGGTATTATGTACACTATTTACATTATTCGGACTATTGTCCTCATCTTTGTCACCATATTTATCACAACATTTCGGCCTTTCAGTATCTGTCTATATTTCTGAGATGAGGTATTATGTACACTATTTACATTATTCGGACTATTGTCCTCATCTTTGTCGCCATATTTATCACAACGTTTCGCCGGTTTGTACCTCCGGCCTTCTTCAGGTGGTTGGAATTCCAGTGAGCAAAATAAAGGGTTCAGTTCGAAATTCCAACCCCCTGAAGAAGGCCGGAGCCTACAACGGCCGAAACATTGTGATAAATATGGCAACAAAGATGAGGACAATAGTCCGAATAATGTAAATAACCTCTCCTCTCTCTCTCTCTATATATATATATATATTATATATATATATATATATATATAGGGGTTACAAAAGTTTTAGTGGCATACAATTTTGAGTGAGTTGTTAAATTGTGATTCTCTTAGTGGTTGTTTACCTGTTTTTGTCTTATTTTTAAAATAATTAAAAATCGAAAGAACTTTATAAAAATTTTTAAAATGGACATTAAAAATATATATTAATATATATTAGGTACAATAAGAAGGCCAGGAAATGCAAGAAAAAAAATTATTGTAAGGAAGTAAATCAAAAAATTATTTAAAAAAAATAAGAGCTGTTATCTCTTTTCTTTTTTTATAATTTTTTTTTATTTACTTTTTTACAATGTTTTTCCTGCTTTTCTTTCTCTTTTTAATATATGTGTACGTATTATATATTAATATATACTCCCACATCTTATGTAGAGGGCTTACGGCAATATCACATTGAAACATATGATCACTGAAGTTAAGTGAGGCTGAGCATGGTCAGTACCTAAGTGGGTGACCACTTGTGAATACCAGGTGCTGTATGCTTGGATGTGTGTGTTGTATAATAGATAACAGCTCAAAATTGGCATTTGGAGAGCCAAGTTCCAATTCCAGTGAGGTTCATTATATCTACTTACATGCAAATACCCTTGGGAAAGGTATGAATCCACCTATTCAATCCCCCCCAACTATGGGTTAATTAGTAGGACTTGTATTAGTAAATTATTATCTTCAAAAAAATTCTTACAATCTAAAAACATTTTCTGGCTTTAAATAACCTGCAAAAGATTGATAAACCATAAAAAAGAATCAGTTTTGATGTAGAGTTGTTTTGGCTTTGATTAAATTTCTGTCTATATTTTCGAGATGGGGTATTGTAATTATTTGCATTATATACACCATTCGAACTGTTGTCATCATCTTTATTGCCATATTCGCAACATTTTGGCTGTTGTATACTCCAGCCTTCTACAGGTGATATACATTAGAATTTCAAACCGAACCCTGAAGAAGGCAGGGGTGTACAACAGCTGAAACAGTGTGAATGTAGCATTAAACATAAGGACAACAGTCCAAACAATGTAGATACTGTAAATATAAACATTTTTGAAATGTTTTCATAATTTTGATATTGAAATTAAATAAATTTATTTCAAGTTTGTTACTTATTGCATTAATAGGCCATACAGGGTTTCACAGAAATACCTCCTGCATAATGGTAAGACATTAGTGCGATAAAAACACCATTGTGACGAATGTCTTACCATTATTTGGAAGGTATTTTTGCTATACTCTGTATAAAGAACCCTGTTTTCATAATCAGGTGTAAGCAATCCTTCCCAAAATACATTAGCAATATATTCCAAAATTTAAAAAGAATATACAAGTTTAAAAGGGGTATAAAATTTAAGAACATATTCAATGCACTTATATGTCATTAGAATGTTTGGAATCACAATTTAAAAAAGAAAGAGTTTGGAAAATTTATTAGATTATTGCGATTTAAGAAATTAACACTTACAATGCAGTTTTCAAAGAAACTCTTAAAGTTTATCATAGCAGACAATATAAAGGTGCCTTGGTGTGGTTCAAATGAGTCTACTTGACCATTCCTCATCAGTAGTAAAAATCAGTGATCCTTACTAGATGCTCCAGACAAAATTTGATACCCAGTGAAGGAGTGACATGATATAAAACCAGCAAATCATCCAAATATCACTTTGTAAATCAGATTATAAAACTCTTTTAACCGTCTTAGAGCACCATTTTTGCGTTCCATGAGCATGGCTGATGCTAACCTGTTTTAGGCCGATATGAATTAGAACAGTTATATTGAGTCACTGATTAAGTCTGCTGTTAAGAAAGTCTGTTCACAGTGTCGTACATGACAATTTTCCTTTCCAAAATCCATCTTGCACTTTTATAAGGCTACCCTTCATCTGTCCAGTGAATATTGATATCACATCTGGTCTGGTGCTTCTGCTATGTATTTAGAGATTCTTGATGAAATCCAAAGTAGAATCTGCAATGTAATCAGCCCTAATCTGGCATCTTGGCTTCAGTCATGTTCCCATAGGTGTAACAGTTTCCATCAACTTGTCCTGATGACCTTTTCTCTTTTGCACATTGACTTCAGGAGTTTACTGGCAACTAGGTCTTATTTTACTGTTGAAATTGCTAGATGTAACTGTTCTATTCTAATAGAATATTCTTCTCATACTTCTTGCCTGTGGAACTCTCTCCCAGCTTCTTTCTTTCCTGATGTTTACAATCTTTGGAAATTTAAATCCAATGTCAGTCTTCATCTTATTTCTTTTCGAAGCCTCTTCTTTTATTATCTTTTCTTCTCAGTAAAGTTTGTTTCATTCTCTTGCATCTTAGTGGCTTTGTTGCCCTGCTTATGGTGAAAATATACAAAAAGAAAAAGGAGGTTTTAACAGCACCTGGTTTTCTTTTATCAGCGAGTATTTGGCAAGCAGTAAGGTAGTTTATCTGTCGATACTGTCAAAGTTTTGTGTAGCTTAATTCTGTTGCTCTTATGAAACTGTATTTTAGAACCTATTTCTGGGGATCGTTGTTAGGTATGCAATATGTATATGATTGTCATAAGTTATTTGAAATAATGGGATGTTTGTCGGTGGCGAAAACTTTGTAATATGTTAGAAATACTAATATGAATACAAGACTAAATTTCTACATGTAAAATATTTGTTTATTCACATCTGCCAAATCAAGGGTATGTGGTTTTGGGTCTTTCTTTGAATGTTTCATCTTCCTCTTATCTCATAAATTGCATAAAATAAGACCAATCATAGGAAAGTGTCAGAGTTACACACTGTCCAGAAGAGTTGATACTGACCAAGCTCCATATAGGACACATATATCTATCACAAACTAATAGCTACTAAACAGGAAGGAAGCCTGAATGTGCATGACCTGGCAGTGGGGATACACAGTAAGCTATATACAATATGTAAGAACCTGAAGTTAGCCTGAATCAAATATTACCAAACAAATAACTTGAAAGAACACTTTACCAGGGTCAGTCTGGATAACATTTTTAAATTCTTAAAAGAAACACCCCTATTTACCAAAATCTGAAAAAACCTTTTAACATATTTATAAATACAAAAACTAAATACTACTTTTGACTATGTTAAAAAAAAAATGAACTTAATTTCCCTATGAAATAATAATGCACAAATATAAAATCCCAGCCATTAGATGACTCACTAGGAGTTGATATGCCATTAAACAAAATAAATTGTTTTGTATGGGTATATCCTAAGTTCAACCAGGTTCACTTCCTTGTTTATGCTGGCTCATCACTGACATCTTTTGAGACCCGATTCTGCACATGGTGTCTATGAGGTTTCCTTCTAGGTTAACTCTCTGAGGCACCTAACTTTTGTGACATTCTGATGTGACACCAAGTACAATGCTGATTTTGGTATTTCTTCGGGTGAATCCAGAACATCTTGGGGTCGCCACAGATCAACTCTTCTTAGATCAAGGCTCCTAATAGACATTAAATTCAGTTCTGACCTCTGGTAATTCCTGGTGTGGATCATATCCTACAGTCCGAGAACTAATATGTGTGGTTCGATTGCAAGTGCACTCACTAATCTCTAAGATGCTATAAAACTGCATCACATATATTTTATAAAATTTCAGTTTAATGCATTTTTTAAACTTTTTCTACTTGCCCTGTATAGAAACTCATTCCAAACGTGCTCTAAAAGGACTTTATCAAGGTACTGAAATCTATGATCCCCTATGAGGATTCCGGTAAAAATAAAACCCTTTTGTATCATGCAATGGTGTATCATGCAGTGGTTCTTAATATGGGATTCTGTAAAGGAAAAGTGCTAAATAAACTTTCTTTTTTTTGACCTATCATCTCAGATTTAGTTACTTCCCCCACCACTGTAATATAGCATCTCTGTGTCTTTTCTATAAATACTCTCATCGTAAATGTTCTGATGATCTTTCCTCTACAGTACATAGACTTTATGAATTTAATTACAGTACTAGATTGGCAACATCATCATTTTACCATTGAAATTGCTACACTTAACTGTAAGTTCTATGCTAACAATTTCTTCTCTCGCACTTCTTGCTTGTGGAACTCTGTTCCAGCTTTTTGCTTTCCAGTGAAGTTTTATCTTCAAAAATTTAAATGCAATGTCATTATTTTCTGTCTTCATTCTTATTCTTTTATTGTTCACTGTCCTTAATGTTTCCCCCCCCATAAGACAAAATATATAAATAAAATAAATAACTAAAAAAAGGGGATAAAACAAAAATTGCTATCAGAGAATCAACTGCATAAATTAAAGCCATTCCTTCTGCTTACAGAGGGAAGGCTGCTTGAACTTAATATAAACGGTCTTAAAGGATAATTAGATTTGGAGAGATGAGATAAGATAACTCTATACACATTGGTTAATTTGAAATGCTGTCAATTAGCTAAAATCTGTGTTTGCTAGGCATTTATAATTTTTTTTTTTTTTTTTTTTAATAATCAGATGAAATTGTTTTTGTCATCTTAAGTAAACTTTCATCTTTAACCAAGGCTATATAACAATGGTTATCTATCCCCCCTTATCCTAATAATCTTCATTTTCTACCTCCTCTTTGATTCGTATAACACACCCCAATCAGTAACCATCTACCATGAGTGACTCTTGAGCCTTGTATTGAGTAAACTATTTTTTTTAAAAAAAAAAAAAAAGGAATGTTGCTTCTTTGCAGAATAAAGTTGCCTATGATATTTTGGCACTATCACCTGCGATAGCCACAAATGTCAGCAACTTTATATTAAATCCCTTGCAGTGTATGACATAACCATAATAATCAGGTATTGCACTTTTGTGTGATTGCAATGGAAATTAAAACTGGGTTGATCTACAATGTGGTCCGAAAGTCTTGTCACCCCCTACCAAAAAGTAATGAAAACAATAGAACAACAAATAATGCAGTAATAAAAAGCACATGGACTGGACTTTCATTGACAATGTCACACATTGAGAAAGTCTGTATGAACACCATCATTTTCATTGCACAAAATTGTGCAGTGCCTTGTCCTGCGTGATATTTTAGAAAGCTGTGCTTTGTTGATTGTTGCAAAGGCTCTCCATACAACGTCCTTCAACTGATGGGTATTTTGGTATCGTTCATGTGAAACTCTCTCTCCTTGCTCCTTGGGGAAAGAAGCTGCAGAGGGGAGATTAAGTCCTTCCCCACAAGATCACATAGATGATTTTGAACACTTTGAGGATTGTGCAGCTCCAGCGCAGATAAGGCAGTGATATTCTATTTTTGGTCTAATCTGACTTATGTTAAGATAAAGTATGGCAGAAAAGGTCAGGTACTGAACCAGAAATTTTTCCAACAATGGATTTTGATTATGTGACTTCCACTTGAGATCTAGAGAACTTTTGAGACCAAATAGATTCAAAACTTGGAGATTTGTTGAGAGCGTGCTTCATTCTTTAAGTTCACCAGTTCAGAATTTTACTGCTAGGACATGCCATGTTACTTC